ATCATCACTAAACCAGACCTCCCAGCACTACATCAACCCGTCTTTTGAACACCTCCAGGGATGGGGCCTCAACCACCTCCCTGGGCAGCCCATTCCAATGGCTGAGAACCCTTTCAGGGAAAAAATTGTTCCTAATATCCAGCCTGAACCTCCCCTGGTGTAACTTGAGGCCATTTCCTCTAGTCCTGTCGCCTGTGACTTGAGAAAAGAGACCAACCCCCACCTCTCTACACCCTCCTTTCAGGTGCCCATCTCCCACCGTCGCACCGAGGCAACTCTGCCCAATTCCACACTTCTTTTTTTATTGCTGGAAAAAGTGCTTATAACTAACACAGAGGCTGCTCTGAGCTGGGAGATGTGAAACGACCTTCCCTTTGTCTTTCTTTCTACTCTTCTCCAGCTGGAGGATCGTTTCATTTATGCTTCATGGTGTAAAACACATGGTTTAGGACCCCAATAACTGGACGGACTTAGTCCTCTGGGTGACGTTCATGGGCTTTTTCACCTTTTGCCGTGATTTATTGAAGGAGCAGCACGTGCCTGCCCCAGATGCAGAGATTTAATAGGAAAAAAAAAAAAGACCAAATCAGAGTTCCGAATAAAAGATGGGCATTGAGGTCTTGAGAAGGTGGGTGATGCCTGGCTGGTCCCTGTGGGGTGATTAGGGGAGGTAATAGCATGCGTATGCTGTAATGGTTGTAATTAGGTTCAAAAATGACTTTATGGAGAGGGGGGATTGGGGTGGGCAGCATCGCCTGGGGAGCTGAATGCTGCTCCGGGCAGGCAGCTTGAAAAGCCTCCAGGTCTCCTGGGTAAAGGCATTGCAGCCCATGGTATAATTTTAAACTGGTTACAGAACCCCTGGCCCCGAGCAGAAACGTGCCCTTCCCACCAAAACTCTGGCAAAACCTGCAGAAGAGGGAATACACTGGAGCTAAAAGTCCCCCTAAATCTGTTTTTCTTGTCATCTCCTACATCTTCCCTGCCTGGAAGGAGGGATCTGGGGAGGGATGTGTTTTTTCCCCTCTCTCTCAGCTGGCTCTCTTCCCAATAGGAAATCTGATTTTTTAATAAAAAATAATGAAATAGTTAATGCTGGCAATGGGATGGAGAAGATTTACAGCAGCTGTCTTGAAAGTCTCCAGCGTTTACACTATTTCTATCTTAAAACAAAGTCCTTGAGAGCCTCACTGCAGGCTCCGGCTCCCAGCCACGCTCCCCCAATCTTGCTGAAACCAGAATGTTTAAGGAAGACAAATCTTTCCAATTACTGCCCGTGGTGCCAGGCGAGTTCGATTCTAGGAGGTGCTGCCAAACTCTTCCTTGCATCGGGCGGCCTCATCCCACAACACCATCCCCTGCCCGGTGCTGCCTGATAACGGGGCACGAAAAGTGCCATGGAAACAGCTGGTGATGCCCTTCTCCATCGCCAGCCCCGGCATCTCCCTGTTTATCTGTTCTCCAAAGCTGATGTGGTCTCACTAAAAGGGTCCTGACTCTACTGGAGGTATCTTTCACAGCTGATAATTTGTGAAACCGAAGTCCTGCTCTTTTGCTGCTGAGAAAAGAGGAGAAGGCTTCACTCGAAGGCATGTGCCTGCTGGGGATGGAGATGCAAGACCCCAACATGGGACCTCCTGTGACACAGAATCATAGAATCATACATGATGGTCTGCTCCCCCTCCCTGGGCACCAACCTGGTCTTTATCTCCTGTAGCCCAAGCGACAACCACCTGTGGTGGTCACAATGGGCGCTTCTAGTCACGATGGCTCCATCCAGGGCTCAACATGGTGTTGGGGAGATGGATAACACAATAGCCAACGGCTAACTTGAGTAATGCTGGTGCTGTGGTCAATGTGCAAATATGACTAGAGGTCAATCATCTCACCCCCATGAAAAGGGAAGAGCCCAAGAGGCCTCTGAGCTCTCCTGCATGGCAGTGGCTGCACACCAGGATCTCCCCTCGAGCAGGGATGTCTCTCAAGGTTACTTCTTGAGATTGAGAGATTCTTTGCCTCAACAGATCCTCAGTAAGTGACTAATGGCATGCTGAACTTTGAAATCGTAGCTAAGTGATATAACGGATTGATTGCGCATATATAATCCTTTAGACGTGAACTGTTGACCAAGTCTGGGACCAGGAATGCATCCAGCTGCACCCAGACTCTCTGAGAAGGAGTTTAGAAAGGTGGGGGATCCTTTCTGAACCTCATGACTCAATGGGAAGGTCTCCCTGACAGCTCTGTCTGACCCTCTCCTCTATGCAGTAAATAACCAAGCGTGCCTTGCAATCGAATCTTGCTAAAACGCTGCTGTATTTACCATCAAACTTTGTTAAGTCCCTGTTTTATACCAATAAATGTATTGCTGCTTCTCTCTACGAGTGAAGTGCGTCACTCCATCTGTGAAGTCACAGATCTCTACAAGTGAAGTGCATCACTCCATCTGTGAAAGAATCACAGAATCATAGGGTGGTCTGGGTTGGAAGGGACCTTTAAAGATCATCCAGTCCCACCTACTGGAAGGGACCTTTAAAGATCATCCAGTCCCCCCTGCCTGCCATGAGCAGGGATATCTTCCACCAGACCAGGTTGCTCAGAGCCCCATCCAACCTGAGCTTGAACATCTCCAGGAACGGGGCATCTCCAAATAGCCAACGGCTAACTTGAGTAATGCTGGTGCTGTGGTCAATGTGCAAATATGACTAGAGGTCAATCATCTCACCCCCATGAAAAGGGAAGAGCCCAAGAGGCCTCTGAGCTCTCCTGCATGGCAGTGGCTGCACACCAGGATCTCCCCTCGAGCAGGGATGTCTCTCAAGGTTACTTCTTGAGATTGAGAGATTCTTTGCCTCAACAGATCCTCAGTAAGTGACTAATGGCATGCTGAACTTTGAAATCGTAGCTAAGTGATATAACGGATTGATTGCGCATATATAATCCTTTAGACGTGAACTGTTGACCAAGTCTGGGACCAGGAATGCATCCAGCTGCACCCAGACTCTCTGAGAAGGAGTTTAGAAAGGTGGGGGATCCTTTCTGAACCTCATGACTCAATGGGAAGGTCTCCCTGACAGCTCTGTCTGACCCTCTCCTCTATGCAGTAAATAACCAAGCGTGCCTTGCAATCGAATCTTGCTAAAACGCTGCTGTATTTACCATCAAACTTTGTTAAGTCCCTGTTTTATACCAATAAATGTATTGCTGCTTCTCTCTACGAGTGAAGTGCGTCACTCCATCTGTGAAGTCACAGAATCACAGAATCATAGGGTGGTTTGGGTTGGAAGGGACCTTTAAAGATCATCCAGTCCCCCCTGCCTGCCATGAGCAGGGATATCTTCCACCAGACCAGGTTGCTCAGAGCCCCATCCAACCTGAGCTTGAACATCTCCAGGAACGGGGCATCTCCAGTCTCTCTGGGCAACCTGGGCCAGTGTTTCACATAAAGAATTTCTTCCTTAAATCTAGTCTGACACGGGACCCTCTGCTCCGACACTGCCTTCCTCCATGACCTTGGGCAAGTCACTTGTCCTCCCTGGGGTAGCCCAGCCGCCTGCCCGGTGCTGGCATGGGGAGGGGTCCAGTCTGTCATCACTGTGGGGACAACCAGTCACTAAGGCCATTGTACTGCCAGCAGTAATTAATCAGTTTTCCATCCTTTCAGGTTCTTTATCTCACAGCATGCCCCATGTAAGCAATGCCAAGTGCTGCTGGGTCCCCTGGGATGGCAGAAAGCAGCTGTGGAGTGAGGTGAGGATGTTGGGGACACCTGGAAGAGCTTGTGCCAAGGCAACAGGCATGAAAAATGCCCATAATGGGTTTCCAAGCCCACTTCTGCTTTGGATTTCAGCAGCTGCTGCCTCAGCCCCTTTGCCTTCTCCGTTACTAAGGTGTCACACTCCAAACAAGAGCCCTCGTGCTGCTAAAGCTGCTCATTTTCTCCAGCCCACTGGGCTCCCCACAAGACACAAGCCGGCACCGGTGAAACATTTCTCTACTTTGATTGAGAAGCTTCCACCTGGCCCTCGCCCACCAGGAGCCCACACCGTTCGTTATCTCCTGGATGATTACACACAGGCGTGCCATAATGAGGGAGAGAAGATCCGCATCCAGCCCGGCTGAAATGCAGCATCTTCAGGTGTATTTTGGTCCCCGGTGGCCACGGAAAGATGCCTTCACGATATATTTGGTGGTGAATTCCTCACGTTGCTCTGAGCTGAAGTCTAACGACTGCGGCTCTGATCTCCGCGGAGAAGTTTTAATCAGAGCAAAGCGTCCAACAGCTCATGTTCGTTTTCCTCAACTTGATTTATATCTCATTTGAGGGTGGAAGCAGGAGCAGGGAGGAAAATGAGAGAGGCAATGAGGCAGGAGGGCTAGGACTGAAAGCACTGAGGCCAAGCTGGGGGAAGAAATTATTCTGCTGGCTGCCTTTCCCTATGCCTAATCAGGATTTGGGTCTAATGACGCTACGTCACATCGCATCCATCCACACCACGATGATGTGCCACCGCTGGGACTCAGGGAGGGTGATGCATCCTGAGCCAGGAGCATCCCACCGCAGTTTATAATAAATAACGTGACTATTGCTGTGTTACCTGAAAGGGTTCACGCTGATCTGCATAATGAAACGCTCTCCCCTTGTCTCTTTTTATATCCTTGGAGTGCGAGAGCCTTTTGGCAAAGAGCATCCTTTCTCAGAGGGCTGGAAGGTACCCAACGCATTAAGCGACTGCCACAGCTGAACCGTAACCACAGAAGAGCAAAACAAGGAAATTATCAGGGATGAAGCCCTTTCTCTGGCCAAAATTACAAGGATTGGGGCAATGCGTGAGAAGCAACGCTGAAAAAGCTGCCCTCATCCCAACCAACTTGAAGTAAGGCATAAAAATAGCTGTTAATGATGAAGATGCCTCCCAATGGGCATCAACACGTATAGCAACCTCTCATATCCCTCCCACTGGAGGGATCTTGGTGTGTAAATGAAATTTAGGACTCACCCTTTGCTCTTGGGTGGCCACAAAGGTCTGGAATCCAGGGGCCACTCCGAACCCCAGCTCCTGGACGAAAGGCGGCTCAGACTGGCTGTGGATCTGGACTTTGACTCCAGCCTCGAACGTCGTCTCCTCTGGAAGAAGAAGAGGGGAGGTTAGTGGGTTGGGGTAGGTAGGATGGTGCCCACCAGCGTGGGCATGTTTGTCCCTCCATGGAAAATGGTATCTGGTCGATCTGTGCTGCTCAAAAGCAGGAGATAAGCATCTGGAAGTGCTCCACCTGGATGATGAGACCTTTGGGCATCAAGGAAGGAACCTCAGCAGCAGCGTTGGCCGTGAGCAGAGCACACCCAGGACTCAGCCCAAACCCCCACTGCTGCCCATCGGGTCCAAGAGCATCTCCAGGCTCCTGGTCCTTCCACTGCTGCCTATCCAGGGGCTCACCCTCCCTGTAACACAGAGAGGGATGACCCCTCCAGCTTGATCTGTACGCCCAAGCTACAGAAAACAGGAGGTGACATCTACTTTCTAGCTGATATTTAGTTACAGTATTTTAAATGCATTCCCATAATGCTAAAACAAATAAACTCCTCCTTCCCCCACACAGAGACATTTCTACTGCCATTAGAATCTCCAGTGCCAAAAGCAAGGGTGCACCCTGTGTCCACTGACACAGCCTGGGGCCACTTGGAAGACAAAGTAGGTAATTAAATAAAGGAGAAAGTGTTTTAAATTCAAAGGAGCTCATGTTTTTGGCAGCTGAGGTTGCTCCAAGCTGGACAAAGGTGCAGACAAACAGTTATGGGTGATGTGAGGTTTCCACATCTCCAATCTGTGCTGAACACCAAGTGACTCAAGGTCAGTCCCCTTCTTCCACTAGAAGCTAAAACCAACCCCCAAAAAAAGACTTTCTGACGCAGAATTAATGGGATGCAAATCAGACACAAGTACTCTACATGGGCACTTTGGGCTCCTCTGTCACACAGGCATCTTCATGCAGCTGGGGCGCGTAACCTTTCTCTTTGAGCATCTCTGTCACAGTCTCACATCCCAACAAACCAGAGGGAGCATATGGGACTACGGGGAGGGGGCTCATTTGCAAAGGAAGTTGTTAACTATGCATAATTTTGTCTAAAAACTGAGTTACCCGCTAATAGGAATCCATGCCCGTGGCCAGCAATGCCACCTTCTAGAGCTAAAGAGCTTCTGTTGAAAGATGAGTCACTTTTTATTCCCTTTGCTTACTATGCCTCGGTATTTTTCTGCTGTTTTATTATAAATTTCGATTTTTAACAGCGCTGTATTCAACCCAGAGGGGGCTCATTTGCAAAGGAAGTTGTTAACTATGCATAATTTGGCCTAAAAACTGACTTATCCGCTAATAGGAATCCATGCCCGTGGCCAGCAATGCCACCTTCTAGAGCTAAAGAGCTTCTGTTGAAAGATGAGTCACTTTTTATTCCCTTTGCTTACTATGCCTCGGTATTTTTCTGCTGTTTTATTATAAATTTCGATTTTTAACAGCGCTGTATTCAACCCAAAGCCCTGGTAGCAACCCAGCACCAAGGAATCACGGCTGCAGAGCTGTTCCTCCAGGGGCTGCACAATGATCTGCAGCAGAAGACACCAGACCATGGGGTGATATGGCCAGGGGAGAAGGACAAGGGAGGAATAAGGTGATACTGGGTTACATGGTTACTCCATCTGGAGCACTGGGACCAGTTCTGGGCTCCCCAGTTCAAGGACAGGGAACTGCTGGAGAGGGGACAGCAGAGGCTACAAAGATGATGAGGGGACTAGAACATCTCTCTGATGAGGAAAGGCTGAGGGACTTGGGGCTTTTTAGTCTGGAGAAGAGAAGACTGAGGGGGGATCTGATCAACACCTATAAATACTTAAAGGGTGGGTGTCAGGAGGATGGGGCCAGGCTTTTTTCAGTGGTGCCCAGGGACAGGACAAAAGGTAATGGGTACCAACTTGAGTATAAGAAGTTTCACCTAAAGATGAGGAGGAACTTCTTTACTTTGAGTGTGGCAGAGCCCTGGCAGAGGCTGCCCAGGGAGGTGGTGGAGTCTCCTTCTCTGGAGACATTCAAAGCCCTCCTGGACACCGTCCTGTGCAACCTGCTCTGGGTGGCCCTTCTCTGGCAGGGGGTTGGACTGGATGGTCTCCAGAGGTCCCTTCCAACCCCATGTGATTCTGTGACATGAGGTTTACAGATCTTGGGAACCCATCACTTAGGAGGATGCAACTCTGCTGACTTAGTTGGGCAGCAAAGGGGTCAGCCTTCTTCTCCCAAGAGGACTTCCTTGGACGTTGCTCAGCCTGTAGCCCCCAAGACAAATGAAGCCAGACACCGTATGGGTGGGAATGGGCTTATACATGGATTTATGAGGCTGAACGAGAGCATCCAGAGTGCTCAGATCTTCCTCCTCTACAGCAAACCATCCTCTGAAGTTCAACACTCAGCCACGGCCAAACTGATCAAGATTTGGTCCAAGAAGGTTGGACCAGAGACCTCCAGAGACCTTGGCGAATGACACTGCTGCCACCTTCACCTCTTACTGAGCAAACAAACCCTCCCAACCGAACCACACATTTCATTCAGCTTTTGGGAAGAAACACTTGAAAAGCCCCATTCTGACAGCGCGGCTGCTTTATCTATTGCCTACACAAAACCTCTTGCTCTGCACCTGCAGTGACGTGTCCACCAGCAGCATCTCCACATCTCAAGCATTTGATCTCAGCAGCCTTTGCAGACCACGCAGCTGGAGCAGGCTCTTAAAGCCCAGCTCTTCTATCTGAGGCACAGGAAAACAATTTGGAGACAAAGAGCATTTATTACAGCAGTTACCTCCCCAGGCCCTGCTTGCTTCTGTGAAATTCTGGGATGGTGGCAAGCTCTCCATGCACTTCATCAGGGGGCAGCTCCAACCAGTTGGAGCTGGACTTTTAAACCAGTCAGAGATGTACTGGTCTGCAGGGCTCACTCTGGAACACACACTCCCACAGACTGATGCCTCTGGTGCCCACGTGGACCTGCCAACCTGTGCTTTGGCTCTGCCATGCTCCACGCAAGGTAATTTATTTATTTTTGCCTCCTTTTGCACTTTTGGTACCAAATAGCGCCAGATTTAGGGCACGGAGCACTGATACTGCCCGGGGTGGCAGGTGGTGGATGGGGAGCTTGAGTGCATCTCCTCTGAATCCCGTGTTGGTGGGATGCAGACACACAGAGAACGAGTTCATTTTGGCATTTCCCTACACTGGAGCCTCCCAGAGCGAGACTGGTGTTGACCATCCATGCTCTCGGCCTCCACTTCTGCTCATGACCCAGTGACCACGACCCGAATCACTCCCCACCACCTTCCCACGATGGGGGCTATTGCAAGCAGCACAACCCTACTGCTGGGACCCACCGTGACAAAAACCAACTTGCCTTTGCCTTGCTCAGCCACACCTGGGCTCCCCTTGCTCCAAGAGATGTCCAATGGTTGTTGACGTGTCCAAGCTCTCTTGCTGTCTGCTCAAGCCCTGCATCTTTCCACCCACGGGGGTCCCATTTGAGGGTCTCCTCCCTGCCAACACCTCCCCACCTCCCAAATACCCAAGGCTTTCCCCAAAATGTCTTCATCCAACCTCTTCGCTGCTCAACACCACCACAGCAGCCCTGGGCTCCACAGCTGATTCAGCACCCAGGTGCCCACGTCCCATGGGCAAAGGCACACCAGAACATGTTCAACCCCCCTCCTGAGCACCCACCAACTCCTCCAATTTTAACCCCGATCCTGTTATTCCCACAAGACGCCCACTCCTACCCATCCCACCCGCTCCATCGCTTTCCCTGGTGTTGATCCCCTTCCAACACTTCAGAGGAGATACCATATGCTTCCCTCAGTAATTACCTGACAAGCTGGAGCAGAAAGCTTCTATTGAGTGTAACTTGTTGGCCAACGGGAACTGTTTTGTGGAAACATTTTCCATCCAAAATTATTCTGCCCGTTTCTGCACCTGCCCTGGGTCTGTTCAGCTCTGACTTAATTCCACGTATTTCCCACAACCAGGTGCTGTGCCCAGGTCCATCTGTGGGTGAATCCCTGTACATCCACATCAAGCAAACAAGATATAGTCTGCAAGGATCCATAAGGGACTTAAAAGCCGCAGGGTTTGTGATTTTAAATAGAAAATCCTGGCACGTGGCCAGTTGTAATCACGGACGGGAGGGGAGAAGCATTTTCTCCGCCACCGAAGAAACTTTGGTTTTAAAACACACAGTTATTAATTTTCATCACCGGTAATAACAAGAAGAGCAAAATAAACAGTGTTTTTTAAGAAGAGCTGCCAAAAGCCAGGCAGCGTTCATTGTTTTCCCTGCAAGAAACACATGTGGGGATGAAGCTATAAACATGAAACTGGCTTTGAAAAACTGTCACTTCTCCTAAAAGTTCATTTTCCACAAAATAAGCTGTTCTCCTCTAAGAGAGAAAAATTAAAAGCCCAGCTATAAAAACCCTTTGATGGAATATGCCTGGACCAGTCCTCATTAACTGCATCTTAAACGTTTCCAAGCTCTGTGGTAGAGCTGAGGAACATTTGTGTGGGTTAAACATTTCCTTCAAGCGTAAGGAAAAGGTCTCAGAGCACCCAGAAGCTCGAGATCTTCTGGTTTTGGGTGCATTTCGCTTGCTAAAATGAATGTCCCCGAGCAGAACAAACCCCAAAAAGGCTCTGTGGTCTTGGGGGCTGCCACCCTGAGACTGGAGAGGTGCAACCAGGGGTGTGAACATCCACAAAGGCCCGGCCCGGCCATGGTTTTGCCAGTTTTTGCAGTTTTAGCATCATTTTGAACGGCTTTTTCTAGTGGTACCTGCCGGAAGCACGGGGCTGAGCCCCAGCCCAGGCTGTCTCTGCTGTTTCTTGGAATCACCCATCAACAGGGGCAAAATATATCCCTGAAAACCCTTTGATTTGGCTCAAAGCCCAGAAAAACTTTAGAAATACATTTCAGTGACTCGGGGCTTGGTTCATACCTTATGGTTTTTAAACTAATTTTGTGATGTTGCCCAACCACAGCCCTTCATTCACTCTCCAGTCCCACTTTTCAGAGGACAGCACCTGCAAATTCATTTCTTAG